CTCACTTTTATTTTGATAGATAGTTAATACATATTAAAAGGTAGCAGTTTTAAAAAATCTGTTTTATATGTACTGGCAGCCAATTTTATCTATCACACGTATCTCCCAACTTTGTATTAAAGGAGGAACTGTATGAGAGGTTTTGAATAGGAAAGAAACTAAATTAATTTTCTCCTACTCTAAATAAGTTTTAAAAGCACCCTGCACTACCTCTGAATGTTTCAGAACATTCCTTTGAAACTGTGGCTTGCACAAATTAGAACAGTCTTACTCTACTCTGAGGTAAAACACTGAAGCACAAATGGTTAAAATCACAATATATATAGTTCAGTAATCTTGTTCCTATTATGCTGACAAGTGGTAACAAACAGCCTTAAGTGTTTTGTGACACAGTTTAGATTTTTATGTCTCTTTGTAAGTGAGCTGCAGACACTAAGAAAAAAAAGTTGCTATACAACAGAATAGGAATGTGATTCAAAAGTGAGCTTTTTGAAAGCTTGATAAGCCTAAATAAAACAACAGCATTGGCAAGACTGAGGTACAATGTAGGTATATTTGCTATATTAAGTCAAGGTGACTCTAGTATAAAAAGAAGCTGCAGACAAATACAGCATATGATGCAAGAATGGATGTCATTCAAAAAACGTAGACATAATGAAAATGGTCTCTATTATTTATTCTCTCTCTCTCTCTCTTTCTCTCTCTCTCTCTCTCTGTCTGTCTCTCTATCTCTGTCTCTGTCTCTCTCTCTCACACACACACACACAAGTGGCAGACCACCAATGGATACTGTATTTGTTTAAAAAGTTGCCTCAATAAATAACTCATGAATAAGGCCATCGGCGGCTTTCATAACTTCACACATACACATTGTGTGCGTTAAAACACTCCAACAGAGTCAGTTTCACAGCTATATACTTCATCTCTCATTAGTAAGAGGTGAAATGTCCACATTTACAGTAGGTTATTTTAAGTCCTTTTTTTAGAAAAAAAAATATTGTTAGTTATACCAACACAGTAGGAAGGCACAATGTAACTATAACTGCATTCTAATATTTCTTCTAATATTGCACATTATCAACAATAGATCAAATGCATTCCCATTTCGGTTCTTTTAATAGTTCATCTATAAATACATTCAGTCATGTGGAATGATCATACCTAGCTAGGTGATGCAGCCTTTCTCTTGCAGCTGGACTGCAATGTGAACTACTGAAATGTTTTCTTTTAAAGATACAGAGTACAGTTTAAATGGAACTCAACTTCAAAAAATAATCACACAGTAAAATCAGTTTGTTTCCATTAAAGGTTATTCTGAAACTGGAACTATCTCCAATAGGTCAGGAATTTGCTTTCCTCACTATCATGTTTTTAGAGGTTCAGGAATTCTTATTCTTGAAACAGAAATATTTCAGAAGCCAAGCAAATCTGTAATTCCTTCTTATATAATAGGAAAATAAGCACCAGGAGACAGACACACAAAACAAAGGCACAAAAGTATCTATTGTGCAGACAAGCAGTGTTATTCTGTAAATTCAGTTTTACATTATCAGGCCACTAAGGACAGCATAACAAACATATCATCTGACTTCAACAATCAGAAATTGCTATAACAGGAGAATGACAGTTCTTCAGAGCAGGTGTTTGGAGAGAGGGGTATCAAGCAAGAGGAGCTACTTTAGAGGACAATTTCTGCTCCAACCACTCAAGCACTAACTAGCTTTTTGTTAAGTCTGAAAAGAACTGAAAGCCCAATAAAGAAACAAGAAAACCAGAAGCCTGACAATAGCTGACCTATTAATGAATTCACTAATATCAAGAGATTTTTTCCCAAATTGTGACATGGAATAGGCATATTTCAAGACTAGGGCTGAAGATGAGAGAGAGAAACTAATTTTCAAGATTTCAATGAATTATGCAGGAATAACTTCTCCTTTGGGATCAGGTCTACAGCTCGGTAGTTCGAGACCTGAGTGCTGTGAGACGGAGTGAGCTCCTGTTACTTGTTGAACCTAGCAGTTTGAAAGCATGTAAATGCGAGTAGATGAATAGGTACTGCATATAAGCATGTAGTAATGCTGCATATAACAGCATTTTATGTTTAGCCATATGCTTTGTGCAGCAGCATGATGTCATGATGGCCAAATGGTTGTGGAAATGTCTCTTGACAACATTGGCTCTTTAGCTTAAGAAGCAGAGATGAGCACTGCCCCCTAAAGTCAGTCACAACTAGTGAGGTAAAACCCATGGGGAAATATTTACCTTTACCTTTTTAATAGTCCCTTTGGAAGAGGAAATGGATGAAGGATTGTTTTGTTTTGGTGGACCTAAAAGTTTGAGTGATCTTTGAAAAAAATATTGATGCGCTTCTATAGTTTTGTGAGCAGCTGGTTCCATCATAAAACAACATGTTTTAACATGGCCATTTTGGTCAGATAACTTAGAGAGTATAAAGGTTGAGAAAAGTTGCTATGTAAAGATATTCTGTGTAAGATTCCTACATTTCCAAAGGCTAGGGTTCATGAAGGTTGGAATTCTTAAGATTATTTATAGAAACCTTCAGGGAATTTTCATGGCCAATTAAAGAAAAAAATCCTCAATTTATGCCAAACTCTCAGAAGTAGATATACATTTGAGAAGAGCGGGACTGGCATCTCCAGTAATGACATGAAAGCCCTTGATACTTTTCCCATCCACAAGAGAGAGGGTTACAGATCAAGTGTACCTCTGTCAACAGCTACTGGCTGGAAAACAGGTGGAAAGGTAGGCAGACATTTCTAAAGACAGCAAATGGACGATATATAACCTTTGTCATCATGACCTCTGTTTGGTAGTTCTGGTAGTTTCATTTTGTACAAATCATGGACATTATTTATCACAATATTACTAAAACATCTTCAACATCACAGTTTGTCTCTGGTCCCAATTCAAAGATACAGATTTTAACTGTAGAGAACCTGTGGGAGGTACTTACTAAAGTGCAGCGCTATGACTGGGAAGACTAAATTTCCATTATGACATTTGGCCAGTTGCTGTTTCTTAATTCAGTCCACCTAATAGGTTATTGTAAGGGCAAATAAAGAAGATTTGTACATAAAGTGCCTTGAGCTGAAGAAAAGGTGGAATAAAATGTGAGATGATATATTGGAAAGAAGCCTGTTTTTACATGTTCCTATTCACATGATTAAATCTGAGACTTTGCTTAAGACACCATCCTTGCTGAGATATATATACTAAATGAGCAATCTTGGAACAGAACTTTGCCATGGTGGTCTCTTTATTATAAGCAGCTGCTACATTATTATAACATTTTAACACTTTTTGCTGCAATAGAACTTTATAAATTATGTTCTTTCTACTATTTTATAGTTACACTTTTAATTATGCTTTTAGTTTCAGTTTGCATTTTAGACTTGTTTTTAAAGTTTTGTAAACTGCCCTGGGAAAATTTATTTTGAAAGGTGGATTATGTACTTATCAAATATATAAATGTATACATTAGCATTTTATAATTATGGTGAGGTTGGTTGACATGGAATTTAAAAAAGTGATTCTAAAAAATACACTCTGAAGCCTCCCAACTCTCTGAATCTCAGAGATATTCTATTTCACATAAAATCTGAGGTAGGGATCCTTACTTTGGAATCATGCTTCATCCAAAATAAGTGTTCATGACTTTCTTACCTAATTACCAATTGTGCATTTAATTTACGCAGTAATTAAGGATAGAGAAAATACATGTAGCAAAAGAAATTCAACTAAATAACATTAGTAATAATTTCAAAAGATACAATATATTTCTTGCAAGGAAATGTTGGATATTGGCTCTGTTAAGTGTCAAAACCTTTGAGACTTTAAGTTTTAATATATTATACTAGATTAAAAAGTTCAAACTACATTATTCTCATATATTGTAATATGTACCAAATTTACATATGAATAGTTGCAGATACTAATCCTGGATATCTGTAGAGTCATAGTAACAATAAATGTTAATACATATACACATATACACACACATGTATGTGTATATGTATGTAAGATCACATAACAATCACAGTCAATGTTTCCCAAGTGTAGTAGCAATTTTCTGATGTGTGGCCTTTAGTACCCAGAATTTGCCTGTAAGCATGGCCATTGTTAAGAATACTGGGAGTTGAAAGTCATACATCTGAAAATTACCAGGATTGGGAAACATTAATCGAGGTGAAGAAACCACCTACATTATTTAGTAACTTCTCTATCTTTCAAAATACACAAAATGATTATTCATATTTAATGGACTTAAAATTATTGATAAAAAGTTTTCCTTTACCACATAATAGCACTACAATCTTGCCTTAAAGTTGCAATTCTTATGACTCTTTTGAATACATATGCTTAAAACAGTAATATTTAAGGCTTATTTTAATCTTTCATCTACTGTTGGTTTTTGGAAACAGCTTGTTTATTAGTTGTTTATTTCTTAAATTTATACATATTTATAGCCTCTACAAGTAGAAAAACTATTGCAATCCAACGGAATACTTTTCCACTAAAAATATAGAAAGCATTTTTGATAATATGAACTGATCTTCCCAGTGTTTCATATTAAAAGAATCAGTCAAATAGGAATAAAAGCTTCATTTTTATAAATCATAAGAATTCAGGTATATCCAAAGGCAAGGCATTTGAGAAAGGAATGTAATAAGAAAGTAGGCCAATATTAGAAAGGCTTGGAAGGAATCCTTAGTATCCAGATTTGAACACAATGCAGGCACAGATAACAACATTTTGGCAAAAATGCTGCAGAATAGATTGCATCAAAACTTGGAAGAAAAATGTTAGAAAATGCTTCCAACTCAACCGGAAAAGTATGAGGATACCTGTTAGCCAGCACTGCTGTTTTGAATGAGTGAATTTAGTTAGAAGATTTAAACAAGATTTTAATTATGATTAATTCTATTCCTACATGGCAATTTGGATTTATAAGATGGCAAACAAATGATACATTTTCATACCTTCATCTCTTCTTCCATTTCAGAAAGCTTCCGTTCAAGGGCTCGTTTTTCCTGTTCAGGAAATATTTTCACAGTGATCATCTTTCATGAGATTTGAGAAAGTACAATAAATCTCATAGGCTTAAGGGTTTTCAAACACAATATAGTCTTACTCCAAGGCAAAAATCCCCTCTGTGCCATATAATACTTCCCGTTTCTCAACTCTTTTTCATTATCCTTTCTTGTTTCTTTCAACCCCAACTTCGAATAGACACAGTAGCTGTATTCTTTCAATTTTTGATTCTATTTGTTTCGTCATATAAGTGCACATTAGGACCAAATCAAATTTCCATACATCACTAACAGGTCATATTTTTGTACTTAGATAAGAAAAATGACATGGCAAAGGGCCAAAATCTTGCCCCAAACAATTAGATATTTTATTTAAATAATGGGAGCTGTGTACTGGACATACCATTCCATAGCAAACAATGCCGATACCACTGACTCCCAACAACCAACATCCATCTTTTTTTTTCAGAGAATAGCAGTAAAAAAGAAAGGGGATGGTTAGAATTAATTTACGGCCAATAGAGTTTTCATTTCATTTTGGTAAGATTGGCTGTTAGGCACTCTACAAGACTATTAAAAGTCTTATGTACTGATAGGGCTTGGAAGAAACAGAACTTTGTTACTGATTAGGCTTGATAATGATTATATAACATATACAGTATATATTTCGTCTGAAGGGCTGAACCACAGGTAGTCCTTGACTTACGAACACAAATAGGACAAGTAATTCTGGTCCTACGTCAAGTCACCATGGTGGTTAAATCCAGCTTAACCAACAAAAATTGGCAAAAAAAAGTCTGAAATTGTGATCAGATGTAGGTGGGACACTGCAATTTGTTGTAAATGTGCACTTGTTGCCAGTCAAATTGTGATCATGTGACTAGGGATGAAGTGATGGTTGTAAGTTTGAATTTAGGTGATAACTGACATTTTCAGAGCCGTCGTTAAATAGTTGTTAATCGAGGACTACCTGTATGCTGAAAAAGTTTTTTTAAAAAAACTATTATCCTCAAAAGTAACTCTTTCAAGTAATTGGAATATCAGATATTAATGTTGATATTTTTTTCTTCAACATATTTTTAACAATTTTGAAACAACAAATTATTCTTACCTCAGATTTTCAAAATCAAAATGAAATCAATAAATACTCTATCTATTATATAGCATTAACTGCCATACAATGAGAGCAATGTCTAGGTCATATATAGTATTAGATTTATCATACTGCAAAATCCAGGCAGTTACTGTATAATGATTTTTTAAAAAAAATAAAAATAAAAAATAACTTTAAAGTTAATAAACATATGGGTAAGCTAGTCTGAGAGTTTATTGTCTAAGCATAAGTATCAGGTACCATTTCTTGAGGCCCTATTCTCCACCACCCCAAACCAATTAGGAAGGCAATTTCTAGCCTTCCTTCCATGCATTACATTACAAATAGTGTATTGCATCTTTTGTTGCTAGAAATGGTATTGTCCAATTCATTTGCTGAATTTCACTTCATTGTAAACAATCACCTCCACTCCAATTGGCTACTGCGTCCTTTGGCAGGATCTAGACAATGGATACACCCTCCATGTTGCCCTGGGCTATTTGCCCCACTTCCCCAGAAGGTAAGAACCTGAGATTTTTTCCCCCTTAATTTCATTCTACCTGCTCTCCTCCTTAGTTCTACTCTATTTCTCTGCCTGCTTCTAATATGTTTGAATCCTTAGCAATTATGAATAAGGAGCCAAAGAAGAGAACGAGTCAGATTGCTGGACTAGTGATACTCTGGATCTTTTATTTAACAATTTAACTGGTGTATCAGTGAAAAGTTGAATCTTTTTTTTTATAAGTTCACCAATTAGCCAAAGAAATGGTAGATTTTCCCCTTCATCACCTTTTTTGAACCAGGTGAAATTTACTGGGGCTCTACCAGTTTCCCCTTCTAGCAAAGTGACAAGAATGCAAAAATGGCTCTTCCTTCTTTCCTTATTCACCATTAGTCACACTACATAAGAAGGGAGAATAGAAGGGTGAATTGGTGGAAGGTGCTCCCACAAAATATCAGAAGAAACAATGAAAAAGAAAGTGATTGGTATTTTCTTTTCTAGTATGGATGGAAGGTATAAAGAAGCAGGGGAATCCACCAATGGGCAGCCATGGTAAGCTGGTTCTGATAGAACACCATGCTGTCAACATAGAACAAAGGAATGAAATCCAGAAAGCAATTTCTTAAGCTGCCTTCATTTCCAGTTTACAGAGAGGAGCCAAATATCGTAGGGTGCAGTACAGAAAAATTCTGAGAATTCAAATAAGTAACTTCAGGAGCCAAGTATTATCCAGAAATAATTGGATGCTTTTGGAATCTTTTGCTAGGAAAAGAATAATATTTCTGTTTTGCTTTGTTTTTCAGAGTACTTATGCAATCCAAGTAGATTCTGAAAACCCATAAAGACTTACCCTTTTTTCCATCTCAAGCATGCTTGAACGATCTGAGCTTTTCTCCAGTTTCTGCTATTGAAAACAAACAAACAAAAAACTTTGTTGCAAAGTAATATTTTTTGCAGTATTGTTTAAAACAATAATCAAGTTTTTATCAGAAATCCAGACTATACATAAATTATTGCACTCAGTGTTTTTTCAGGTACTATTAATTCTCTTATCAACAATAATAAACACTTTTTATTTTCCTGGTTGTTTTTTTTCAGTACATCCCTGATTTCCTAGAAATTCTTCACCTGATTTAGTTTGTCCATTTTTGACTTAATATCTGCGAGTTCCGCCTGGGCATCTTGCAGTTTAGATTTCAGTTTCTGATTTTCAGACAGGGCACTCTCATACAGCTAAACAGAAAAAAACAAAAGTGGAATTATACCTCAGTATTAGATAATATTCCATCTACTGAACAATCGATGGTGACATACTGGAGAATGATGGTTTGCAAGACTTGCTATTTCAGATCCTCTAGAAAAGCAAGTTTTATTGCAGCTCATTTAATTTTCAGCCAACATCTTCAGGTAACTGCATAATTTCATGAGAGTCCTGCATCACTCCAGGCATATCCTTTTAGTTCATGTGGAATGAAAGTACAGCCTGGAAGTACTTCTCATAGCAATACTTTGAATTTTACCAGATAAAATTCAGTTTAAAATGATTGTTTGTCAATTATTTGCCATTTGCAATATTTCATATAACATTTTGGCTATTGATCTTCCACGTAAACTAAATATATGTTCAAATGCAGCTTGGAAAATTCTTGAAAAAATTAGACATCATATTCAAATTTTACACCAACATTTTCTTATTCCATACAAAGGGAAAGGAATCAAAGTCAACAACTCCATGGAAAAGGCAAACATAGGAACGCAAATACAGTTATTTGTAATATTGTCCAGACATGTCATTAAACTTATTTGAAGCTGGACTTTAACATCATTTTCTTGATATATTTCTTTTTCTGTCTTTTGTTGGGGCTTTGAATCTGTATTATTTCATTGGTTTCTTCATTGCTTTCCAGCTACATTTGAAACTGCTTGTATTAACTGATAAAAAGAAAACAGTGGGGAAGAAAAGAAGGGCTTGAGATAATCTGATACAAAAAGGGCAGTGTAAGAACTGGATATGGCCTGGAAACATCTTTTTTGCAATTCCAAAAGACCTCCAAAAGACCTCCAAGTGGGTAAGCAAAATATTTTGTATTTTGCATTGGGAAAGGTTAAGAGCAAAATAAGCTTTACCACCTGCCTCCCATGATACCTGATTCCCTTGGTATGTGGCTATTGAGATAATGAGAGAAGCCTAGTGCAGGCTTCAAATGAAAAGAAAGAAAAAGAAAAGAATGGCCCACCTTTTTATAATCCTTGATACTATCATCTTCGGTTCGGTTGCTGAGAGCGGCTCTTCTGGTATAGGCACTGCTGCGGCCTGAGGGTCGGTCACTAGAGGTATCAATAGTGCCAGTGCTTGAACTTGCTGAATCCAGCCTGAAGTTAAATATAGTTTAAAGCAGGTTCATTCACTTTCAAAACCATTTACAACTTTAGAAAAAAAAGTTTTTATAGCAGAGATACCCAATGCAATGACAGAAAAATATTTAACATGTGTAGAAGTGAAAAAAAGAAAGTTCATTCAAAACTGACAGGAGAATATCATATTTGAAAGGCAAAGGAATTCAGATAAGAGGTGAACATACTGGTCAGATAAAAGATGGTAGTCTTGAAAACAAATATAAGGCCTCATGAGTACAGTTCCATAAGCAGTTAAGAAGAGGCAATTCATTTGGAATACTGATGTGTGTGTGTGTGTATGTGTGTGTGTGAATATACATACATTATTATTATTATTATTATTATTATTATTATTATTATTATTATTATTATTATTATTATTATTATTATTATTATATTTGGATTTATATCCCGCCCTTCTCCTCGCGGACTCAGGGCGGGATACATACACACACACACACACACACACACACACAGAGGGAGGGAGGGAGAGAGAGAGAAAGAGAGAGATATGCATGCTCTAACAAAAGCATAAATTCTGAAAATCTTACCTGGAGAGCCTTTCATGCTGTAAATAGAGATAAAAGAAGCTCAGATTAGCAATAGCAATAATAAATAGTTTTAATATTATAGCTGGAAAGCTGGAAATATGACTATTATGAAAGTAAATGACAAATAACTATACCATAAATTCAGCAGGGCAGTAGCTCTGGAACTTATCTAGAAACTCTTTGAACTATTTTAAAATATTGCGAAATAACTGCAGCCTAGGAGTTAAACATCTTTCTTAAACATACCAATAATAGCAGATATTTCTGGCAACATCAGGATGATCCTGGTTAGACTAAAGTATCAACACGAACTTTAAAGAAAGTGTTTATATGGAACATATTTATATTAAATAAATGCAGAAGTGCAGTATTATCTGAAGCTCTTTTTATAACGTTGAATTCTCATTCTTATATGACTAACTAGCATAGACAGTCTTATATTTAGGCATTTGTTATTTGTTACAGAAGAATGAAACACATATTCACATTCAAGCACACTATTCTTTCAGGAGATCTAATGTCTAATGCCAAAGATTTTTCCTTAAAAAATTCTATCAAAAGACTATATTTGTCAAACTAAGTGGTTTGTTTTCACTAATTACATAAATGATTACAAAAGCACATGCAGAGATATTAAACTATATACATCTGACAATAGACATTTCTCTTTACTACTTAATTCTGAGATTCTGTTTTGTATATTTATTAAGTCTTGATGTAACTTTTTTAATCAGAATTTATTTTGATTGCATTTTTTCAGTATCGATCTTTTAAAAAATCACATGCTCTCTGTTTCATATGGAAATTGTACTACAGTTATATTAATTAATCTAAGTAATGTTTATCGTATTCTGATGTGCAGCTGCTGTTATTTCTTAGATATTTGTTCTCAATTCTGAAATGGAACTTTTAAAAATTCTTTACAGAATACAAAATTGACACTATAGAAAAATCTGCTCCCAATTTCTTTATATAAACTGAACAACTTATAATTTACTTATATTTAAACTAGATAACCTAGGCTTAAGATTGAAGGCCACATTAACTTTCTAAATTTCATACTTATAACTTAAATTTATGAAGTAAATTATTTAGAAGTAAAACCTCATTTTATGACACTTATAAAAGTCATGTTTATTTTACCAAGCAAATTGTTTTCTGACCATCAACATTTCACTATCCAACATTTGGATATTTTTCTGACAATGGCTCTAACAAGTTTTGCTGCCTAGAATAACTTAATACACCATTATTTTGTACATATATTAGGCCAAAGTTTCTTTTGCCAAAAATAGAGAAATACAGAGGTATATGAACATTAATGCCCATGCTTAACAAAATAAATAAATAAAATTAGCTTTAATGGAAGCTTTCCATGTCAAACATATGGAGGTAATCCACTGAAAGTATTGCAACGTAAGTACTTATATTCTACAAAGCAAAAGAACAGCATCTAGCCATCCTTGTTTGGGCTTGCAAACTAAGCAGGATTGAGGCTGGTTAGGACTTGGTTGGGAAACCACCATAGAATTCCTTTCTAGCTGTAAACTGCACTGGGAAATAAAAAAATATATATTCTGGAAGAATGTAGCAGGAAATGATTTCTGTTATGCAGAAAACTGTATGGATATGACCATGTAGTCACCAATCAAGCACCACTAGGGAGATTTTACTTAGAATACTTTCAAACAGAAAATTTGTCAAAAGAGGAAGCACAATTCCAATTAAAGTACTGAGGCAGGCTAGTTTTCTCTAATAACATTACTATGGAGGAAGTATCTTCTCTGTGTGAATATGTAGCATTCATCTATTTAAGAGGGGTACACGGCAAGGACTGTATTTACTTGAAAGGAAGACAACCCTGCATTTCCAACAGTTTTCCTTTTTATTCTATTCTCAGTACATTCAAGAAGCCCTCCTACTTTAAAGACAAATTGAGGAAAAAATATAATCTTTCTAGCAGACAAAGTTGGTATATCATTCTCAGGCATATCATGTACTGTATTCAAATATAAACGTAAAAAAGTGGGTTTGAGTGTATGTGTGTGTGTATAATGTATAATTTCCATGATTGAGGAACAGTAGATATGCCATCTTTCCCTAGCAGTGCCTTACTGAAAACCTATGTCCAGTTTTACATTTTAATGAAATACTTTTTGAGCATTACATGACAATACAGCTTAGATGTGGTACAAAGAGAAATCAGTATCAGGGAATGGTACAGTTATAGCAAACAGAATGAAATAATTTATGAAAGCAAGGGGTATCATGCTGACCACACTTTTCAGGAATTAGGTTCACTGAAGCAGAAGGAGTTGAAACTCAGCTTTTGCCAAGCTAGTCAAGTGAATAAAAAACTAAATAAGTCACAGGAAATTATTTGACCTTTTCTATAGTACCTATTGGAAAGCTCCGGTCTCTTCTGTACTTGTAATCCTTACCAATATTTGGTTTGTTGCATCCCACATAAATCACGATTGCATAATAAAGTTTATTAAATCTAAAGCTGAGACAAGAGTGAATTTCTGTGTCATAGACCAGGGCTTTTCAACCAGTGGTACGGGTACCACCTGTGGTACATTGGCACCTGACAGGTGGTACACGACCATCCTAGAAAAGTGGTAGTGGGGGAGGGGAATGAGCTGAACCAGTGGCAGCACCGCACAAGCCTTCAGTGAGAGAAGGCTGGAGCTGCAGGGCTGTCAGGGCTCAGCGGAAGCACCAGGATCAGTGCCAGGCTCCAGCTGGAAAGTAGCACTGATCCTGGTGCTTCTGCTGAGCCCAGAAGAAGCACCAATCAGCTGGAATGTTGCAGGATCTCCAGGGTCTTGTGATTTACATTCAGATGCTTGGCAACTGATTCATATTTATGACGGTCACAGTGTCCCAGGGTCATGTAAAGTGACCAAAACCTGCTGCAACCACCCAGCAGACGGGGGGAATAAAAACCAAACACCCCCACCCCACCCCCGCTGCCAATCCTCAACAGAAATGCTCACAACAATGAAAACTCGGACAGGAGGAAGAACGCCGCCGGGTGGGCAGGCAGGTGTCTTGCTCAGCTGTGGCTTGGGGGGCACTTTTTTCAGTGCCATTGTAACTTCGAACAGTCACTAAGCGAACTGTTTTAAGTCGAGGACTCCCTGTACTTTATCACTTTTTTTCCTTTTGGGGGGGGCATCAAGTTTTTGACACCTTGCTAGGCGACTGGTGGTACTGGAATGTTGCCATATCCTAAAAGTGGTACAATGGGTGAAAAGGTTGAAAAGCCCTGTCATAGACTGCTTTTTTTTTTTTTTTAAAGCCAAGTCTTTACTTAATGCAGCATTGTTAACGGATGCATTTTAATGAAAACTGCAAAGCAGCTTGCATGACATATCCAGCAAAATTGCTTACAGGTTTTCTCAAAGAAAAAAAGGCAAATATTAATTTGGTATGGCAATGAGAACATTATGTAAAGAAAATGGACCTTTCCTTATTTGTTTTGGTGCTTTCGAATCAGTGTTAATTTCTGACAAATGTGTGTACAAGTTTTCTTGGCAAAATTTCAGAAGTGGTTTCCCATTGCTTCCTTCCTAGGACTGAGAGATAATGACTGGCCCAAGGTTACCCAGCTGGCTTCATGCCTATGGTGGAACTAGAAATCACATTCTCCCAGTTTTTAGCCTGAGACCTTTAATCTCTAGGATAGATAACTACAGAAGTCTACCATTGATGATGAGCCACAAACTGTAATTGGTATGGAATGTGACTGTTCTCTCTGTATTTAGGCTATTAATAGAGTTGAAAGGGAACATTGCAAATCAGAGCATAGCATAAGAGAAACAATATATGTTTCTTTGTACATTCGTGTCTTCCACATCCCTCTATAAGAGTAGATGCAGGAAACAAAAAGAGGGAAAGTGTCAAACACTTAGCTAATAACTGAGAGTTTATATTTTGTTTCCTGAATAGAAAGCGGCAGCAAAACCAAAAGAGAAGCAACAGTTTAAAAGCAGTAACTCAGCCAACCTACAGAACACTAAAAAGAGCGCCTGAGAGAATTTTCCCAAACTGTTTTTGGCTGACCCAACTGTGAGCCTGTGGCAGTAGTGAAATAAAGAAAAATGAACAAATGAAACTGCATTGCTATGTATTTTTTAGTTTCATTCTGCTTCCTTTATTTCTGTTTTTAATAAAAAGGAACAGGGCTAGGTACTGGAAATTATTCTGCAATGTTGACAACAAAGGGATTGTAAAGAGCCAGGAAAAACATATCGTTTTGATTGTAGATACGTGTAGGATTATGGAACATTACAAACTTACTTTTAAAATTCAAAAGCATTCACAGATGGTATAAGTGTAATTAAAAGCATGTTCTTGACATTTTTACAAGAATGCAATTTTGAAATGGGGAACGAGGGCATAAATAGTCACTTACTCTTTACCAAAAAAAAGAAAAAACTCATTAAATTGGCTTCAATTATTTACTTTTGTTACCAGTACTTAATAAAAAAAAGAAACAGAGAAAAGAGAAGACTCTAATATTTATATTTCTGCAAACAAAAAAGATTCTACTATAATTTCCAACAGCTGTGTTCAAAGATTACAAAAATATTTTAAACTCTGTGGCAGAATTTCTTTTGCATCATAACATTCCAAATTTGTGCCCAACTATTGTGCCCAACGTTAATATACTACATCGAAGGGGAATTGTGAAATGGCAATTGACTCTCCCTTCGCAATATTTTACAAAATTATCTTGTATTTTCTTTATTGTTGGTTACATAATTTCAGCCACTGAGAATTCATGTACAATATATAGTGCAAATAGTAATAACACAATACATAATTAGATCAAGCTATGTGAGATATGAAACCCTTAATCTAAAAAGAAGGGGAAACAAAAACATGTTACCCCTTGGATGATAGAACTGAGGCTGTCCTTCATTCACATCTTGCTTTGCACTGGTATGCAAAGGAGATAGAAACTTTAGGGTATTTCAAATTTCATGAACAGGGAACAGCTGCTTTGATA